TATTTGGGTAAGTCAGGGTCACCATACATAAGCAAGACAGGGAAAGTTCTAGAGTTCAGGTAAAGAACTGAAAAGCAAGCTAAGAGGTGGATAATTACCCATCCTGGTTTTATTACATCACTAAGGACTCTTTCTATGTACTGATAGCAAAATCAAATCAAGAGTAATAAAAAGGTGTTTATAAGATGCCCATATACTGGGTGCCATAAGTGATAAACTCAGGTTTCAAAAACTAAAATCAACAGAGGCTTCATAAAGGTCTGTTTTGCCCAGTGCTGCAGCTTTTTGGAAAAGAGATTGATATTTTGGAGTCATTATTTTCAGTTCTCCACCACCGAATCCAATCCTTGCCTTGTTTTCCATTCTGGAAGGTATAGCTCTACTAAGTGCATCAGCCAGGTTCCCTTGACCTCTGACTTCAGTCGGATTTGGCTAATAGGAGGCAGCATTGGGAGATCAAAAGGCAGAAAAAAGAAAAAGGTTGAAATATTTCTCCCTGGCTCCTTCTGTTCCTCAGCCCTGAGATTCTGGCAAGGGCTGACCTGGTTTGTGGCCACTGCTCCTGTTGAGTGGCTCTTGTCTACAGTTCCAGTTTTTGGTTTTTTTTTGAGATGGAGTTTTACTCTTGTCACCCACGCTGGAGTGCAATAGTGCAATCTTGGCTCACTATAACCTCCCACTCCCAGCTTCAAGCAATTCTCCTATCTCAGCCTTCCGAGTGGCTGGGATTACAGAGGCCCACCGCTATGCCAGGATAATTTTTGCATATTTTAGTAGAGATGGGATTTCACCATGTTGGCAAGGCGAGTCCTGAACCCCTGACCTCAGGTAATCCGCCTGCCTCAGCCTCCCAAAGTGTTGGGATTACAGGCATGAGCCACCGTGCCCAGCCACAGTTCCAGCTTTCTTCAGGCTCTAGTAATATTATTTCTTCTCGTCCATTCAGGACGAGGTGTGGTGATTTCTCATTGTTGCTAATTCCTGGATGTGTAATAATTATTTATCCCCTTAATTTTGTCCACATTTCCAGAAACAATTTCTTTATTAAATTCTCTTCAGTTAATCCATGATTGTGCTGTTTGTTTTCTGTTGGATCCTGTTACGATAATTTTATCAGGAATTGTTCTAGAAAATAGACACTCAAAATGTGACTAAGGGATTGGGCAGCTCACATATATGAAGAGCACATGAATATCCCCCTTGCTAGGACAGTGCTTACTCAAATTCTCATCAATGCTGATAGAGGATAGATTACAGTGAGAAAGCAAGGAATTGGGAGATTGAGTAGCTATAGAATTTAGCTTTTATGGTGACAATACACACTCCTAAATGTGTATACAGCAAAAGAGTAGCACTCTCTCTTGATGAAATGACCCCTTTATCACTGTATTATGTATCTTTTTGTATCTTATACTATTTCTTGTTCTGAAGTCAGTTTTGTCTAATATTTCTATAGCTACTCCAACATTTGATTAGTGTTTTGAGATTTGTCTTTGTCTTTATTTTACTTTAAACCTATGAAGGTCGAGCATCCCTAACCTGAACATCTGAAATCTGAAACGTTCCAAAATCTAAAACTTTTTAGGGCCAACATGATGTTCACAGGAAATGCTGATTGGAACATTTCAGATTTCAGGTTTTTGGATTAGGGATGCTCAACCAGTATGTATTCTGTAAATATTCCAAAATCTGAAAACATCTGAAATAAAAAATATTTTGGTCCCAAGAATTTCAGATAAGGTATACTCCTCACCTGTGTATACATCTTTATAGCCAAAATAGTAACATTGATTCTTCCTATCCATAAGCATGGAATGTTTTTCCATTTGTACCATCTTCAATTTCTTTCATCAGTGTTTTGTAGTTTGCCTTGTAGAGGTCTTTCACATCCTTGGTTAACTGTATATTCCTAGGTATTTTTGTGTGTGTGTGGCTATCGTACATGGGAATGAGTTCTTGATTTGGTTCTCAGGTTGAGTATTGTTGGTGTGTAGAATGCAACTGATTTCTGCATATATTGAGATGATCATACAGTTTTTGTTTTTAATTCTGTTCATGTGGTGAATCACACTTACTGGCTTTCCTATGTTCAATCATCCTTGCATCCCTGGATAAAAGCTACTCAATTGTTATGAGTTATCTTTTTGATGTGCTGTTGCATTTGATTTGCTAGTTTGTTTTTGTTTTGAGGATTTTTGTGTCTATGTTCATCAAGGCCTATAGTTTTTTTGTTGTGTCCTTGCCAGATTTTGGTATCAGGATAATACTAGTCTTATTGAATGAGTTAGAGATAAGTCCCTCCTTGATTTCTGTGAACACTTTCAGTAAGATTGGTACTAAGCTCTTTTTCATACATCTGGTAAAATTTGGCTGTAAATGTGTCTGGTCCTGGGCTAATTTAGCTGATAGATTTTTAAAATAGTGATTCAATTTTATTACTTGTTACTGGTCTGCTCAGGATTTCTATTTCTTCCTGGTTCAATCTTGGGAGATTGTATGTTTCTGGGAATTTATCCCTTTCCTTTAGGTTTTATAATTTGCATGCTTAGAGATGTCCATAGTAGTCTCTGATGAGCTCATATATATATATATATATATATATATACATATATTTCTGTGGTATCAGTTGTAATGTCACCTTTATCATTTGTGATTGGGCTTATATGAATCTTCTCTCTTTTCTCTGTTAATCTTGCTAATGGTCTATCAATTTTGTTAATCTTTTCAAAGAATCAACTTTTCATTTTGTCAATCCTTTGTATGATATTTTGTCTTAATTTCATTTAGTTCTGCTCTGATTTTTTTTTTTCTTTTCTTCTACTAGCTTTGGGTTTGTTTCATTCTTGTTTTTCTAGTTCATTGAGGTGCAATGCCAGGTTGTTACTTTGAGATTCTTTTTGATGTAGACATTTAATGCTATAAACTTTTCTCTTATCACTGCTTTTGCTGTATCCCACAGGTTTTGGTATGTTGTGCCTTTATTTTCATTTGTTTCAAAAATTTTTTGAATTCTTCCTTAATTTTGTTGTTTGTCCAAAAGTCATTACGGAGCAAGTTGTTTGGTTTCCATGGACTTGTGTGGTTTTGAGAGTTCCTTTTGATATTGGTTTCGAATTTATTTCCCTGTGGTCTAAGAAGATGCTTAATGTGATTTCTATTAATATTTTTTAAATTTATTGAGGTTTCCTCTATGGCCAAGCATATGGTCAATTTTTGAAAATGTTCCAGCCAGGCATGGTGGCTCCTGCCTGTAATCCCAGCAGTTTGGGAGGCTGTAACGGGTGGATTACCTGAGATCAGAAGTTTGAGACCAGTCTGACCAACATAGTGAAATCCCATCTCTACTAAAAATAGAAAAATTAGCCAGGCATGGTGGTGCGTGCCTGTAATCCCAGCTACTCAGGAGGCTGAATTGCTTGAACCCAGGAGGCAGAGTTTGCAGTGAGCCAAAATCACAACACTGCACTCCAGCCTAGGCGACAGAGTGAGACTCCATATCAAAAGAAAAGAAAAGAAAAGAAAATGTTCCATGCACAGATGAGAAAAACATATATTTTTCTCATGTTCCGTGGATGTCTATTAGATCCATTTGGTCAAGTGTCTAGTTGAAGTCCAGAGTTTTTTTGTTAGTTTTCTGTCTTGATGAGCTGTAGAGGGATTAGATGAGTTAGTGGGATTTTTGAAGTGTCCCTTTATTACATTATGGCTTGGAGCTTCCACCCTAAGCAACCACAGTCCAAGCTATATATTGGCTCCTTTCAGCCATGGCTGGAATGGCTGGGACGTAGGATACCAAGTCCCCAGGCTGCACACAGCATGGGTACCCTAGGTCTGGCCCATTAAACCGCTTTTTCCTTCTGGGCCTCCAGGCCTTTACAGAAAGGGCTGCCATGAAGGTCTTTGACATGGCCTGGAGACGTTTTCCCCATGGTCTTGGGGGTTAATATTAGGCTTCTTCCTATTTATGCAAATTTCTGCAGCCAACTTGAAAGCCTTGGAAGCGTCCACATGGTGTTGAGCCTGTGGGTGCACAGAAGTCAGGAATTGAAGTTTGGAAACTTCTGCCTAGATTTCAGAGGATGTATAGAGATGCCTGGATGTCCAGGTAGAAGTCTGCTAAAGGGGTGGGGTGCTCATGGAGAAACTCTGCTAGGGCAGTGCAGAAGGGAAATGTGGGGACAGAGCCCCCACACAGAATCCTTAATGGGGCACTGCCTAGTGGAACTAAGAGAAGAGAGCCATGGTCCTCCAGCCCCCAGAATGGCAGATCCACTGACAGCTTGCACTATGCACCTGGAAAAGCCTCAGACATTCAACACCAGCCTGTGAAAGCAGCTGGGAGGGAGGTTGTACCCCAGAAAGCCACAGGGTGGGAGCTGCCCAAGACCATGGGAACCCACCTCTTGCATCAGCATGTCCTGGATGTGAGACCTGGAGTCAAAGGAGATCATTTTGAAGCTTTAAAATGTGACTGCCCCACTAGATTTCGGACTTGCATGGGCCCTCTAACCCCTTTGTTTCGGTCAGTTTCTCCCATTTGGAATGGCTGTATTTACCGAATACCTGTACCCCCATTGTATCCAGAAAGTAAACTATCTTGCTTTTGATTTTACAGACTCTCAGGTGCAAGGGACTTCCCTTGTCTCAGATGAAACTTTGGACTGTAGACTTTTAGGTTAATGCTGAAATGAATTAAGTCTTTGGGGGACTGTTGGGAAGGCATGACTGGTTTTGAAATGTGAGGACGTGAGATTTGGAGGGGCCATAGCCAGAATGATAAGATTTATCTCTGTGCTCCCATCCAAATCTCAACTTGAACTGTGTTTCCCAGAATCCCCATGTGTTGTGGAAGTGACCCAGGGGAAGGTAATTGAATCATAGGTGCTGGTCTTTCCCATGCTATTCTCATGATAGTGAATAAGTCTCATGAGATCCAATGAGTTTACCAGAGTTTTCCACTTTTGCTTCTTCCTCATTTTCTCTTTCTGCCACCATGTAAGAAGTGCCTTTTACCTCCCACCACGATTCTGAGGCCTCTTCAGCCATGTGGAACTCTAAGTCCAGTTAAACCTCCTCTTCTTCATAGTATCAGGTATGTCTTTATCAGCAGAGAGAAAATGGACTAATACAGTCACTTAGCTAGAAATCCATAGTTTGAAGATAGAAACTCCTGTTTGCCTAATTTCAGAACTGCTTTCTTTTTATTTAATTATTTATTTTTGTATTGCATTTTAGGTTTTGGGGCACATGTGAAGAACATGCAGGATTGTTGCATAGGTACACATGTGGCAGTGTGATTTGCTGCCTTCCTCCCCTTCACCTATATCTGGCATTTCTCCCCATGCTCTCTCTTCCCAACTCCCCACCCCGCACTGTCCCTCCCCTATTTCCCCCCAACAGACCCCAGTGTATGGTGCTCCCCTCCCTGTGTCCATGTGTTCTCATTGTTCAACACCCGCCTATGAGTGAGAACATGTGGTGTTTGATTTTCCGTTCTTGTGTCAGTTTGCTGAGAATGATGGTTTCCAGAGAACCTGCTTTCTTAACTACTGTGCAACTACTACAGCCTCTCTGATATATAAATAAAACATTAGGACTTTTATCAACAGAATGCACAAAGTAATGCAATGAAGACATAAGTTCCAAAGAATCCAATGGGTATGAAAAAACTATTTTTCAATCTTACTAGTAAGGTTGAAATTAAACATTAAAATAGTAATGATTAACAAAGATTAGCTGCTTTTTAGCTTGAAGCGATAATATTTGTCCATTCTTGCTTTGGTTGCCTATGCTTTTGAGGCCCTACTCAAGAAATCTTTGCCCAGACTAATATCCTGGGGTGTTTTCCAAGTGTTTTCTTCTTGTAGTTTCATAGTTTCAGATGCTAGACTTAAGTCTTGAATCTATTTTGATTTTACTTTGGGGTATGGTGAGAGATATAGGTCTATTTTCATTCTTTTGCATATGGATAGCCAGTTTTCCTAGCACCATTTATTGAACAGACTGTCCTTTCTCTAATGTATGTTCTTGGCAACTTTGTTGAAAATCAGTTGACTGTAAGTGCATGGATTTATTTCTGGGTTCTCTGTTCTAATTCATTGATCTTTATGTCTGTTTTTATGCCAGTACCATGCTATTTTTGTTATATAGCATTGCATAATTTGAAGTCAGGCATGTGATTCCTCCAGTTTAATTCTTTTTGCTAGGATGGCTTTGGCTATTCTGTGTCTTTTGTGGTTCCATGTAAATTTTAGAATTTTTTCTTTCTTTATTTTAAAGGCAGCGTCTCACTTCAGTTGTCCTGGCTGGAGTGCAGAGGTACAATCTTGGCTTGCTGTAGCCTCAACCTCCCAGGCTCATGTGATTCTCCCATCTTGGCTTCCCAAGAAGCTGGGACTATAGGTGTATATTACCATGCCTGGCTGATTTTTTGTACTTTTTTCGTACAGATGGCATGTTGCCATGCTGCTTAGGCTAGTCTCAAACTCCTGAATTCAAGCAATCCACTCACCTCAGCCTCCCAAAGTGCTGGGATTACAGGTGTGAGCCACTGTACCTGGCCTATTTTTTCTATTTCTGTGAAGAATGTCATTGGTGTTTTGATAGCAATTGCATTGAATCTGAAGAATGGACATTTTAACAATATTGAATCTTCCAGTCCATGAATGTGGACTATTCCTTCTATTTTGTGTGTGTGTGTGTGTGTGTGTGTGTGTGTGTGTGTGTGTTCGTGTGTTCACTTCAATATCTTCCGTCAGTGATTTTTAGTTTTCATTGTACAGATTCTTCACTTCTTTGATTATGTTTCTTCCTGGGAATTTCATTTTATTTGTAGTTAAGTAAGATTTCTTTCTTGGTTTCTTTTTCAGATTGTTCATTATTGGCATATGGAAATGCTACTGATATAGCAAAGGACACAATCAATAAAGTGAAGAGATGATTGACAGAATTGGAGAAAATATTTGACAAGGGATTAATAATAAAAACATATAAGGAGCTCTAACAATTCCATATGGAAAAGAAAACAATTTGATTTAAAAATGGGCAAACAATTTGAATAGACATTTCTCAAAAGAAGACATCCAAATGGCCGAGTATATGAAAAATGCTCAGCATCACTAATCATCAGAGAAATGCAAATCAAAACCACAATGAGATATTATCTCACCCCAGTTTAAGTGGCTTTTATCCAAAAGACAGGGAATAATGAATACTAGCTAGGGTATGGAGAAAGGAAAACCCTCATACACTGCCGGTGAGATTGTAAATTAATATAGCCACTATGAAGGATGGAGGTTCCTCAAAAAACTAAAAATAGATCTACAACATGATCTGGTAATCACACTGCTGGGTATATCTTCAAAAGAAAAAAATTAGCATATCAAAAAGACATCTGGACTTCTATGTTTGTTGCAATGTTATTCACAGTAGCCAAGATTTGGAACCAACCTGGGTGTCAGTATCCTCCAATGGATGAGTGGATAAAGAAAATGTAGTACATATACACAACAGACGATTTAGCTATAAAAAGAATGAAATCCTGTCATTTGCAACAATATACGTGGAACTGGAGGATATTTTGTTAAGTGAAAATAAGCCAGGCACAGAAACACAAATATCGCATGTTCTCACTCGTATGTGGGAGCTAAAAAACAAACAAAAAACTCTCATGGAGATTCAGAGTAGAATAATAGTTCCTAGAGGCTGGGAAGGATAGTGGGTAGGAGGGAATAAAGTGAGGATAATTAATCAGTACAAAGATATAGTTAGATACAATGAATAAGACCTAGTGTTCAGAAATACATTAGGTTGACTACAGTTAAGAATATTTTGTATTTTAAAATAATGAAAAGAGTAGAATTGAAATGTTCCTAGCACAAAGAAATGATAAATGCTTAAGGTGATGGATACCTCAGTTACCTAATTTGATCATTACACATTGCATGCCTATATCAAAACATCACATGTACCCGAAAAATATATGCAACTATTTTGCACCCACAGTAATTTCAAATAAACCATTTTAAGAATAGAGATTTCTCCCTTTTTCAATTAGAGGGATTTATATATCATACTCAGTGCTGTTAAGGTTTAACATTGGTGGGCTTGTAAATTAGCACAAGCAGGTTAATATTCTAGTAGTGTGCCCTAAGACTCCTGGATTGGTTATTGACAGTAGAAGTCTGTTCTGATTGCCCTGTGTTCATACTAGGTGTTAAATATTTTTCATTCACCCCTAGATAGAAGACAACTGAGTGATATTTACTTAGAAGTAGAAATAGTCACATTGTAATACCTTGTAATTACATTTCTAGGGAAGCGATAAGCTTTTGGAACTAGAAATATACCTGATTTTATATCCGTAGCTTTATTCATATTAACAAATACTTAGAAATAATCTAATGTACAACAGTAGAATGGTTATATAAACAAAAAATCTATCATACAAATATTAGAAATGAAATAATCTTTATGAAAAACAGTAACATGAGGCATGCTTATATAAGTTAAATGAAAAGGAATTCTATATTTTATATATACTGTGATTGTGTTTGTTGTTGTTGGCTTTTGTTAATGGATGAACAAGTAATAGTTGGAGGGAAATACCCAAAAGTGTTCAGAGAGATTTATGTTAGTGTGATAGACATTTTTTTTCTGTTTTGTGATTTTCCACAATATATGCACACTTAACAACATGGAAAAATTATAAGAGAAAAATAGGTTATCTCTAAATGTTTGCTATAACTGTGCCTCTTCATAGATATGCAAAACTTTAAGTAAAAATCATTCCCAGAAAGTTCTGTATTAATGAAGGAAATAACTTATTTTTCCTGAAATACATATTGAAGGTTCGAAAACTCTACCTACGTGAGAGGAAGAGCCTATCAGTGCTGTTTACTAAATCCGCTCAGTGTTTCTAAGGGCAATCAATGGGAAAAAGCACTGCCAGATAAGGCACAGTATGCTAATAGAGGAAGTGGAAAGATTCATTTGCCAGAACATTGGTTTTGCATGGTAAGTGGGCTTGTGAAGATCACCATCTCAGTTAGTAACCCCACTGGGGTTTTATTATCTGACTTCGGAATATGTGATGTGATGATATGCCAGTTTAATGATGTTTAGTAGTGTGCAGACAGGGCATGGCTCCACAACCCTAGTTACAAAGTCTCCTGGTCCTAAAGAGTAGAAACTTATTTTGACATGGCCATGACCTTCAGCATGGGGTTCAGATTAAAAAATGCCTTTCTGCTTCTGACGTTTTCATCCTGGCATGAAGAGCCCAAAATGGGTGGTAAAACACCTAAAACAGGGAGAGTAGAAAATTAGGAATTTTCTAAAAGAAATTTTAAAAAGTTCTAAATTCTAAATTAATTCTAATTTAATTCTATTTTATAATTAAAATAATTTCTAGGGACTCTATTCCAGGGATTCTAAATTCTAGAATTTAGAGTTCTGAGTTCTAAATTTGGAATTTTCTAAAATTCTAAATTTTTCTAAAATTCTAATAATTTCTAAAAATTTTAGAATTCTAAATACTAGAATCTAAAAATTCTAAGTCTAAATCTAAAAATTCTTAAAATTTTCTAAATTATAAAATTTAATTTTCTAAAAGTAGGAATTTTCTAAATGCTATAAGCATTCCTGGAATGCTTACAGCTAGGTTTTGTTCATCTTAATTTAGCCTCTCTTTTCCTACTTGCTTTATTTGCTTCTTATATTAAGGACATATCTGTGTGTGTCTCAATTTCTTAGAAATTATGAAGCATACAGAGAGGAAAAAAGATAAAAATTTTGGTAGATTTCCCATTATTTGTTCATATCTCTATTGGCATTTTGGGCAAAGCCATTCAACAAGTCTCTAGGAAGTTTCAAACTTTCCCACATTTTCCTGTCTTCTTCTGAGCCCTCCAAACTATTCCAACCTCTGCTTGTTACCCAATTCCAAAGTCGATTTCACATTTTTGGGTGTCTTTTCAGCAATGCCCCACTCTGTTGGTGCCAATTTACTGTATTAGTCCATCTTCATGCCTGTGATAAAGACATACCCAAGACTAGGAAGAAAAAAAGGTTTAATTGGACTTACAGTTCCACATGGCTGTGGAGGCCTCAGAATCATCGTCGGGGTTGAAGCACTTTTTACATGGCAGTGGTGAGAAAATGATGAAGAAATAAAAGTGGGAACCTCTGATAAACCCATCAGATCTTGTGAGACTTATTCACTATCACAAAAATAGCACAGGAAAATTGGTCACTATGATTCAATTACCTCCCCCTGGGTCCCTCCCACACATGTGAATTCTGAGAGATTCAAGTTGAATTTCGGTAGGGACACAGCCAAACCACATCAGTGACATTGGGCAAGTTACCTTACCTCTTTACTTCTCAGAGTCTTCATATATAAAATGAGGATATTAACAGTACATAGCTTAAAGGTGTTTTAAAGAGGATGAAGATAATCCTGTAAAAGCTTAAAACAGTGGCTAGCATATAACAGATGTTAGCTATATGCTCCATTTGCATAAATTCTAGGTACTTAAAGAGTGTGAATGCTCAGAAATAAAAATAAAATCCTAAGCCCCACAACTGACTGAACAGAGCCCTTTTTGACCAAGAGGACCCCTGAGAAACCTTGAAAACTCAGTTCCTGGCCATGATGGGATGAGAAGTTGGACATGCCTCAAGATGCCCCTTTCTTATTAACCTTTAACCAGAATTATCTCCTAAGGAGTAAGCAGATGCCAATTCTGAAAAATAAGAAGCAAACAACTTTATCATCTTTAGCTAATCATCTGAGGCAACAACCAGACTTCTCCCTTTTTGCAGTTTTGACATAACAGCTCACCAGATTCATAACACACCCCTTCCTAAAATGTGACCACCATCTCTAGACCAGTTTTGGCTAACTCATAGAGAATGCACAGTGAAGGGGTTTTTGTCTTTTGCTTCACCTTTTGACATCAGAGGGCTGAAAATTCCACCCTTGTTTCATGCTAACACTGCTATTTTTTGAACATGCAACCCATGAAGAGACATGAAGCTCAATTGTGCATGTGCATGTTTCTCCTTTCATAAATACTTATGCCTCTTTCTATAGCTTTTTAAATATGTATAGTTGACAACCTTGCTCAGCGTCAATTCCTGTTCCTTCTACCCTTCCCTCAAAGTGTTTGCTCTTGGCTTCTGCCAAAGGCTACACTTCCTAGCCTGCAGAATGGCCAGTCTAAAACAATTTATGAAAAATAAAGCTCTCCTTTCCAAATTTATCAACCTGTGATTCTTCGGTTGGCAAAGCTAAATGAATTGGTTCTCTCAGGAATAAACAGATAGTAGGAGAAAAGCTTCAGGTTCAACATGGTGGAATTGGTTGATAGGCCAACATATAGGTATTCACATCACAGAGAAGTTGACAGCTCTTCTGTTTGTTTTGCCTTACCCTCACTTTGTCTTACCTCCATTCCTCTACCCCTACAATCTCAGGCTGCAAATGTACTGAAAAGAGTGTATAAGAAACAAAGGTTCTTTTTTCCTTTCAGACTATCCTGTCACTTAGGCACATTTCTCTTAAGCAAGAAGGAGATTGAAGAATATTTCTCTAGAGAAACTGAATAGCTTCAGAGAACACATCTCCAGAAACTGACTCTGGGAGACCCTGTCTTCAAAAAAGGCAGTTTTAGCTCCTCATGTCACTGGACAATGAAAACCATCTAGCACCACGCATAGGCCTAGGGCCACCAGACATTTGAGACCAATCTTTAATATGAAGGAGAGAGACCAACTGGCATTAAATTTAATACCAACTTGTTGGTATTAAAACAGAGCATACAAACATAATCCAAATAAGCAAATGTGTTTCGCTATCAGATGCTTTCAAAATATAAACAATTTTTTTTAAAATTCTAAATCCAAATGTTTTTAACTTATCAATTAACTACAATAAATTAATACAATTTATTTACTCTATGTGACTCAACTTAATGCTTTTACTTGAATATAGGTCTTAGGATAAGCCTCTCTTCAATGAAAAACTATTAAAATAAACTTTGTACTTTTTTCTGAAAAATAAAAGTTCATTGTCAGATGACGTTATAACTGTTCCTTTTGGAAGATTAAATTATTTCAGCAAAACTAGAGATTTTGTTTACTTTGGCAAACTGGGGTAAAACAAGCAATCTTCAAAGGTGCTCAGAATAAATGTTTTGTGGACGAAACTGAGAGATGTTTGTATCAATTGATTACAGAGGTCAAGTACTAGATACTAAGGGGAAAAACAAAAAAGTTATGAACATCTGCACAGATGTCTTTTCAAAATAATTTCATTTATGAAGAAGAAAAGTTGAAAAATCAAAAACAGGAAGACACTTTTAATTTTTAGTACATTATTATTTATGTCCCAAACCACAGGAATATAGTTCAGCTTCCTTTTGCTGGACCGGAATACATATGAAGATGTTATTTTAGGTTATCCACTCTGAACAACGCATTCTCAGAACTTAACATGATAACTACCTCCTTAACAATACCATGTTTCATTTTCAAACTTCAAGCCAGAGTTTAGCCTTTCAATGAAGTTTTTTTGGAAATTAGAGAAATCCTAAAATTGTGGTTTCGTGATGTTCTGTTCTATGCTCAAAGCTGGAGCTGAACTGCAGAATTTCAATGAGCTGTGAAGTATCTTGTAAGTAATTTATCAACAATAATAATTAAAATCTCAATGTGGGATTAGGAAAAAAGTGAGATGATATAAAAATCATCTAGGCTTTTAAAAAGGAGTTTTCTTCCCCCAATGCAAGAATCTAGTTCAACATTGTAGATTTCCCCCACACATTATAACCTCTTGTTCTCCAAACCCAAGACACAGAAAAGTAATCTTAAAAGATAATTGCACAAGGATGATTAAACACAAGAGTGGATAGGAAATTTCAACACATTTTTTGAACATTTCAACAAGCTTAGGATGCTAAAATTCCATTGAGGAGAAGAGCAATGAGAAGCAGGGAGCTCCACCTCCAGAGAACCCCAGAAAGGCTTAGGATTTGGACATATCTGTTTCTATAGAAGGTGTCAATACACTGTGGGAATAGAAACAGGGGACTTGCTTGAACACATACAGAGCAGCTTGACTCCCCACACAACCTTTTATTCATTTTTTAAGTCCCACAGACTCCACATTGCAGCCATACCCACCTGCACATATACACATAAACTGGAGATTTGTTCTTTGGCAGAATTGAATGGAAATGGCTCTGATCTCAAGACACTGTACCCAGCAAAGGGCAAGGGTAGGCCATGGGAAGGGAAATAGGAAGACTCAACATACACAAACTGAACTCTGGACCCTCCTCTCATTTTAGCAGATGGCAATTTCTTCCATGAAAATAATCCACAACCCTGGGAGTCCTCCTTGATGCCTCTCTTTCTCCTATACTTCACACTCATTTTATCAGGAAATCTTGATAAAGTAAATTCAGAATCTGACTACTTCTCACAACCTTTATTGCCGCCACCCTGGTGCAAGCCACCGTCTGGTTTTTTCCTGGATTACTGAAAAAGCCACCTAACTGGTCTCCCTGATTCTAATGTTGCTTCCTACAGTCTATTGTCAACATGGGTACCAAGTAATTCTTTGAAATCTGAGGTCAGAGCCTATCATGCTTCCACTTCAAAGCATATAATAGCACCATGCTGTCTTCAGTAAAAGCCTTCCCATCACTCACAAGATCTTCCTCTCACTTCTCCATCCTCCTCTCCCCTTCTTTCCTCCTCAATTACTGTCCAACTACTGTTTGCCTTTTTTGCTGTTCCGCCAACATAACAAATCTGCTTCCACCTCAGGGCCTTTGTATTCACCATTCCTATTCCTCTGACTCAATTGCTCTAACTCTCTTCCTTTCATCAAGTCTTTTTGTTCAAAAATTAGTTTCTTAATAAGGTCTATACTGACCATCCTATTTAAAGTTGCAACCATGTAACACTCCTAATCTCCCTTAGTCTGCACTATTATTTTTCTTTTTCTATAAAACTTATCACCTACTAGGATACTATTTAATTTTCTTATTTCTTGTATCTACTGCTTATTGTCTGTCTCCAGGTCTTTAGACTCTAAGCTCCATGAGGACAGGGATCCTTCCCTATTTTGTTTACTGAAGGATTCAAAGTGCGTAAAATAGTGCCTGACACATAATACGTATTCAGCAAGTATTTGCTAATGAAATAATGAACGATGTAGTGAAAGTCTATATACTGAATGGAAAGGCTGACTTTCCCTATCCTGGTTTGCTCACAAAATTCTAGCAGACTGCTATATATCCCAGACAGAGGTGAGAGGAGTTTCTCCTTGGAAACTAAACAATTCAGAGAGAAGACTTCTGGCAAAAGATATTTGAAGGAAAGAGCAGCTCATACATGTCCTGATGACCATTGCGTGAAGGACACTAGTCAACCTATCCCTGCTAGACTTGCTCCCCACCTTGACACACAAAACTTCTAACTGGCCATGTAGAACATGTTCTTATAATGAATAGTAGCTAAGAATCACTGGTTATTGAAGAAAACCTCCAACATGAAAGAAAAAACAACAACAATTGAACAGCAAAGAGAAACTAAGAGGAAATAGAAAATGTGAGAAGCAAAAGTTAATGTTTTAACTCTGCAATTAATATTGCTATGGAGATAAGAAATAATATTGTGAACATAAAACAAGAATGAAAATAGAAACAATAGAAAATCAAGATTAAGCTCTTGGAAATTAAACATATAGTAGCTGAAATAAAATATTTAGTGTAAAAGTTTAGACATTAAAATCAAATAAATCTCTTAAAAGAGAAACAAGGTGTTTGAAGAGATAGAAAATTAGATAAGAAAATTAGAGGATTAGAAAGAGAATTGAGAAAATAAAAGAGACAATTATTGACACATTCATATAAATCTAGATTGAAAGCACATATTGTATGACCAGCATAATCAATTGGAACACAACAACAACAACTCAAGGCCTACACCAAGGCATTTCACTGTGAATTTCAGAGCACCAAAAATAGACCATCTTCAAAAGGACCCAGAGAAAGAACAAAATAAACAAGAATCAGAATGGCATCAGACTTACCATAATATTGCTAGAAGACAATAAAATTCAGCAGTTCCTTCAAAATTCATAGTGAAAATTATTTTCAAGCTAGAATTCTATATCCAACTAAAGTATCAATCAAGTATGATAGCAAGGTAAATATCTGAAACTTACAGATATGTAAGGACTAAAAAATTTGCTTTCTATGTCTTCTTTCTTAGAAAGCCAGTGAAAAATTCTTTCTTAGAAAGCCAGTGAAAAATGTGCTTCTCCATACACTGCAGAAAAGCAAAGACATGGGACTCAGGAAACAAGGGATCCAACATCCTGGGGGTGAGGCCGTGCAGCCCACCTAAAGAGAAACCAGCCCAGCAGTGTGGAAAGCTGTGTCAGCTGCAGGCGACATGAGAGGTGGGGTGACAGCAGGATTATCCAATGCATTCTATCCTTTAACAAACATTGCTGCGAGTTTGACAACTCTACTGGACCTTTTTAAGAAAATTGCAAAGAATACTTGGAAATAAATTAAAACAAGAAAATGATGCAAACAAGCCAACATTAACTCAGGAAGAAGAAAAAATGTATCTAAAAACAGAAATATATTCGTGGCTTGGCAGTGAACAATGAAGGTACCCATACATCACTACAGTTTTAACCTAAACTGTGGCATAATCATATGAGGTGGATGGCAAGAAAGGGACTTTAAAAGGGTGGTGCAGAAGAGAGCTTAATTCACCATTTGATGTAACAGAATTTCAAAAGGTACTTTCTAAAATGGACAAATAAAAAATAGCAGTCTATGCCTAGTATTTAGACATATGGAAGCATAGTGAGAACAAACAACTAAAACAGCCTTGGGGAGGGTGTGTAGAGGGGGTCTGGTAAAAAAAATGCTATTTTTATTATAAGCTTTTTTAGTATTTGATTTTTAAAAATTATGTATACACATTAGCAAAAATATAAATTATTCTCGAAGTTAAATGAGTACACAAATCTATGGAAGTGATGCATGCTTATTAAGAAAATAGCAGAAAATCTGGGATTGGGGAAATAAAGCATAGCATCACAACCCCAAACAATCACGGTAACAGTTTGTTGTATTTACTTCATCTTTAACTTAAAAACAGATTTTTAAAAATGTAACTAGATTTTATATACAATTTAAATCCTATTTTTTTTAACAACCCCAATCATTGTAAGAGTTTGTTGTATTTACGTCATCTTTGAGTTTAAAAAAGCACTGTAACTGGATTTTATATACAATTTAAATCCTGCTTTTTTTTTTAACAGTGTCATTCCAAAAAACGGCTTTCCTCAAGTATTTTAATAGCTTTGTAACAGTCCTCTGATCTCCATTCTAAGTCCAACAAGAACGTATCATCCCCACTGATTCTTAGTACTCACATGGACAGCAGAGGTATCTCCAAACAAGAGATCACTGGGATGTAGGGGTAGATCCTTTTAAACAAATTAAAATCTTCCATCAGGGAAAAAGCCACTTGAAAACTAAACACAAACTAGCGCCAGTAAAAAGGGAAACTTACTGGCTCATGACACTGAAAAGCACAGGGTATCATTTCAGACATTGCTAGGTCCAGGATGTAATGTCACCAGAACCCAATTTCTTTCTTTCTCCATCCTCAGTAACACCTGCTCTGTCAGTCTGTGCTCGGTTGGCTCCTCCTCATAGTCACAAGATGGCTGTGGCAGTTTCAGCCTTACTTCTTCCCACGGAGGTCTCTTTTTCCCACCTCCTCAAAAGTCCTGTTAGTCACTGATTGGGCTAACTTGGGACATCAGCCAATCTGAGCACCTGTTACTCTGGCCGGTGATGTAGTATTTTGATTGGCCAGGATGGGTCACATGATGCACTGCGCCTCCTCCTGGAGCCGCATCTGGACCCTATGGACTGAGAGAGCAGGTGGGAGAGGGTCTTTAAATGAAAATCTGGAGGCATTTCTGGAAAACAGGGAATGGATGCTGGGTAAGCAAACAACAAATATCTGCTACAAACTTTTGTTTTATTGTAAAATTCAAATTGAGAAGTAGGAAGACACAAAAATCAGCCATAACGTTTCAGGGTGCTTCCTCAGTTGCTTACCATCCTCTGCATACCGCCCCACACCTCTCATCTGTGGATGCCTCCTAACACTGGGCAAGGCCACAACGCACTGTGAATCCAACTGCTAGCTGTCTCCACACCTGCCCAGGGTGCCAGAAGGTATGTTGGTAACACTATAAATTCATGGTGACCAGCCCCTGCTGTGCCTCCATAGTCCTACCCCTTTTCTCTAATGTCTTGCTTTTTCACTATCTACCACAACTACTTTCACACCTTCACCACCTTTCTCACTTATAATTTCCTCCTCCTTCCCCCTTACCTCCTACTTCACAGAGAACATAGAACTCAGTAACTGGGAAGCACTTCAGCTTTCCGTACCAGACCTAGCTGCATCCACACCCATCTTCTCTTCTCTCTGGACACAACAAATAACATGTGCTTCTTGTCTAAGGTCAGTTCATTCACTTAGGCTCTGAATCTTATTCTCTCACATTTTCTTGGAAATCTTTTGCTATTAATCTCACTCTTTCTCACTTTTACTCCTACTCTCTTTCCCCTCCTTTTCTGCCACTCTCTTCTCATTTAAACATGCTGACATCTGTAGGTTTGTTTTGTTTTTTTTGAGATGAGGTTTCACTCTGTCGCTTAGGCTGGAGTGCAATGGCATGATCTTGGCTCACTGCAACCTCCACCACCCGGGTCAAGCAATTCTCTTGCCTCAGCCTCCCAAACATGCTTCCTTGATCTCCTATGCATGTCCATCTATTATTCTATCTCCTCTATAGCAAAACTTCTTTAAAGAGTATGTGCTTTTATTGTCTCTATTTTCTCACCTGTTACTCTTCAAATTATCCCCATTGAAATTCCAAACCTATCATCTCTTGAAATGTCTCACTCTAAGGTCACGATAATGTCCATGTGGCTAAAGCCGAAGTTCCCACCTTACTTGGCCTCTGCAGCATTCATCACAATGAATGCTTCTGTTTGACTTCTGAGATCATCTCCCCGTGGTTTATTCTCTCCTCTCTGACCCATCTTTTCAGATATGTTTGTTTGCCTTTTCTTCCACCCAAACATTAAATAAAGGAGTTCTTCAAGGCTTGGTCTTGGGACATATTCTCATCTGACTCTATGCTCTTTCCCTGTCCCATAGGTTTGGATATTACACATATGCTGATGAATCCTACATTTTTATGTCTGCAACCTTAACCCCTGTGTCCACTGGCTCCTTGGCATTGGTCCTGACTGTGTCACAGGCTCCTCAGTCTGAATTGCACTCAATTCTTTCAACCTCTCACCCCGCAATATCTTCTGCTCTTCCAATTCTTTCAATGTTTTCTCTCTTGGGAAATGGTATCTCCCTTCCCATTCCCAATTGCTCAAGCCAGAAAGTTGGGAGTTTGTCATGTTTCCTCCCTGTTCTTCACTCCTCACATGAAATCAATTGCCAAGTTTATCAGTTTTACTTCCAAAATACTTCTTTAATATTATCCCTCCTCAGGGCCTCAACACCCCTCCTCTGCCAGTCTAACATCACCCCTGACGTGGTGCACTGCAAAAGGCTCTTAACTTTTCTCCTGATATGGGATTGCTTATTGTGAGGCCCATCTTATGCACAGGACCGTTTACTCCATGAAAGCAAAGATAAGAGCTGTCCTATTCATCACTTTATTTACTGTTCCTGTTACACTGCTTGGCATACTATATGCCTAATAAATCTTTGATAAAATTTGGGAAAGTGATAAAATTTGGGAAAGAATATAAGATTCCTGAATTCCAGTTAACTACAATATCACTTTGGGTAAACATATCTTCTACTCCGCCCCAAATACAAAAGCAAGAAAAAAAATCTTCCCAATAATGAGAGCAAAGATGTCACAAATTTATGTACTTTGCATCACAGCAGTCTTATGAAGATATCTTCAGAAACTTGGAGCACAGGAGGGAATGTTTGTGAATGGGGAAATCATGTTACTTGCGCCTGTCACACAGCTGGTTGGTGGAAGAATAATATCTAGAACTCCAGGCTTCTGGCTCCCATTCCAGTCCCTTTTTCCCTCATTGCCACAGATAGGACATATTAATGGAGCAGTATACATAAAATTAATCTTACTGCCTAAGAACCTTATTTATTTAGCTTCCCCTGGAATTACCAATATATGTAGTAGAAGAGCATATATATTACTATCTCATGTGGAGTTCTTACTATGTCCTATTCAACTTAGGAAGCACTTTTATGTATATGCACTTCATTTATTCGTTATAACACTTCTATAGGCCTTTGTTTTTATCTCCATTGTTCAAGAATGGAAACTGGGGCTCAATGAGCTTTAGCAATTTGCTCAAAAATACAGAGCTGAGAAAAGGCGGAGTCAGGATTTAAAGTCCATCCTACCCCTATCACTTAGCATGCATCTCTTAAGAACCATTCTGTTTATTTACTAATGTTTGAAAATGGCATTTAAATGAAGCAAAACGAAATATTTAAAGTGCGTGGAATATGCTCTTTTTTTAAAAAAAAAAGGGGGAGACTTTTTGATATCTTCAAGTCTTTCATTATTCTTATTGACCTTCTTGAACTGACTTCCTCTTTTTCTTGAAGTTACCTAATTTCAGGCTCTGCCTCAGCCATTCTCCTTCATCTGCAGTTACACTATCAGTTCCACTTTCTCATAATGGCAGTATTCTAGGTTTGTTTTGTATCACGCAGTTAATCCAATGGGGCAGTTTAAAGCATTCTGTATTACCAAAGAAGTCATGAAAGACAAATGTTGTGTTTCATGGCCTTAATAAAAGGAACATAAATCCTTAAACCACCAAAGCCTGGATAGTAAATGGTAGCAGCTTGGGATATGTAAAAGGGAAAGTTAAATTTTGCATGTTTTCCATGGAAGTTTTAGAAAATCACCTCAATCAGACAACTCATGCAGTCTACGGAAACATTGCAGTGTTATTACTGATTTCATTTGTGCTGGCCTGTGCCATCTTGCTTAATTCTACCTAGCAGTAGCCAGCTAGTCTGGCATCATCTCATTCCAACAGGGCCATTCCCTTCCATTTATTAGTATGTTTACCAATAGTCACTTGGGGAACTGTTTCTCTTTCTGTCCCTCCAGGGTTCAACATTAAAGTTATGAAGAAAGCAGCAGCTAGTTCAGCTGGGTCATCATAAAAGTCCAGGAGAAGCAATGTGAAAAGAAAGCTAAATGACAAAACAAAGGAAATAATCTTCCAGCAGAGAGATCCTGGTGAAAAGCAGTTTGATCCACTGGCCAATGATGTAGCTTGGGGAAAATTGTGCCATGAGTATTTGCTAACTACTGAATTTAATTAAAGTAGCTTTGTTGACCAAAACCACAATCCACTATTAAAGGTTTCTGTGAAAACCACTGGGAATGAGATCTGTATTTTGTAATAACCATGAAACTATAAGTACCTTCATGGGAAAAGGATAGCTGCTGCCTTTTTTGCAACAGTGAGGTCCCTCTACTTGCTCTGTCAAGGCAATTTACTTCAATTAGAATTGGAATTTCATTTGGGTTTCTTTAGACACAATTATCTATTCAGAAATATTTATTATATATATGCCAGATTCTAGGTTGGGGAAGTCAAGACATGTGCACAAGTAATTATAATACATGATTAATGCAATTGTGATCAGAAGACTATGAGTTATATTTAATACCAAAGAAGTATAAAGCACTCTGTGGACAGGAACCTTCACTGGCTATCGGTCAGGTGCCAGGAGAGGCCTAACTGCATAATAATTCAGCAAATAGACTTGGGAACCAGGCAGACCTGGATTCAACCTGTCTTTGCCATTAATCAGTTGTGTTGTCTGGAATAGGTTTATTGCCTTCTCAAAGATATAATTTCCTCATTCATAAAAGGTAGACAAAATGCTACTTACTTCATAGGATGCTTATGAAGATTGACTGAAATAATCTAGATTAAGAGTTTCACATAATACCTTGTCCACAGCAGTGCTAAAGACATAGTCCTACTAGTGTTATTGAGCTTGATCTATCTGTTAGGATTATCTGGTTTAATCAATAGAGACTGACTTTGGCTAATATAAACAAACAAACAAATAAAAAGGAATTGATTGGTACTGTCAACCTAATAACAGAGAGGGGATTTTTAATAGAAAAGATATTTATTTGGGAATAGAGCATTGTAGTGGGAATATGCATGCCATAGGAACTTTGTTCATATTTAGAGGGGTAAAGGAAGACAAAGCTTTTTAAAGGAAAAATGAGAAGGGTTACATAATTGTTTTAAAATCATTATCTTTGTCTATGAAGATCGATAACAAAGGTGATGCCAGTCTGAGGTTGGACAAGAAGTTGCTGGGCAGATATCCTTGTAGATGTATGTAAAATTAATGGGGAGTCTCTTTGGGAGACCACTGTGACCATTTTTCAATTCTGTATTGCTTGTCTCAGATTTGCAATCCAGGGAAAAAGTACAAGATTGACGTACATCTTTAACACATAATTGGCCACACCCACCCCTTGGACATGGGAAGGAAGGGGCAAAAAATCAGAGAAATCTTCTTGAAAGCTATGGTATTTTCTGATCAAGGGAAAGGGAAGAGGGTTAAGGAGTCTAATGCCGAGGAGGCAAAAGTAAACAGGCAGCATCACTGCAAAAGTGAGCAGGAAAAATTAAGGAAGGTGAGCACCATTTGGAAAATTCATCAGGGAAGAGGATCTGTGCTGAGTAGGACGAGAGGGGCCGAATTTTCCAGGGGTACCTGGAAAGCTAACAAGAGTTGTTCAGAGATGGAGTAATAGCAAGTTAGAAGCCACTGAGGAAATCTGAGAAAGACTAAATGGAAG